TGATCCGATTATGCAAGTGCTGCACAGCACTGCAACACATTTATAAGGGAGCATTTCCGACAAAGCGCCATTGTGCACCCAGCAATTAACAATGCTCAGTTCCATTCCCTTGGTTTGATTCTTGCTTATTGTTAATGACCCTTCAGCAAACCCTTTAGACTTGATTTCCGGAAATGTTCTACTATCATGAAATATGAACGCTGTACTTTAAGGACCTTACATTTGCACAGTTTGAGTCTACTCTTGCAAAATGCTTTGCCCTACAGGTACCTACAGATTTCGTAACTCTTTCGCTCCGAGTCAGATACAGAAATAGAGGATGGGTATGCCATGTTGAAGCTTAGGGGTTGTATCTGAGCTCTTTCCACTCAAATGAAATATGTTCAAATCTATCTTTCTACGACCGTATGCATGTTCGAGTTCTAGGTCCTAATTCTCACAGTGATTGTTTCATCTATACTGTAACGATTTCATTCCTTCTAGTAAATCGGTATAACTCAAAATCCATTGAGATTTTCGCTTCCAAGTTTTTACAAACCATGAAACCATCACGCGCCTCTCAGTGTTTCAGTTGCTCTCGTCCTTCTTTGCCGTACCTCTCCAAATTAAATTATGTTATAAGTTATGTCATATGTTATACTTCTTAAAAATGTATTTCCTCCTTCCTAAAGCTTACGGATTTGTTTATTGTTCACTCATAGTGAATACCCTTACATTCGCTACTCAAATATATTCAGATAATCTCACTTTTATACCTTTCTAGATGGCCACTAATGTATACCCCATTCACATGAGCACGCGTTCAGGGCTTTATTCAGCAATAAACAGCGATTCTTACTTATATGAACACCAGGCAAAGTTGTCTTGATTTGAAAAAACCTTATTTATGTTCATCTATTGTGTCTCTCTCTAGGTCAAAAATCTGATTTAATAGCCTTAGAGGATATACACTATCTGATTCAAAGAGATCGCTAGAAGTTTGCTACAGTAAAGGTCGATTTGAAGTACAGTTTTTTTTTTGAAAGCTACCATAAAGTGTGAAAATTTGAGATCTTTCAGAGATGACTGAGGAGTTGAAAAAAGCTCGCAAACAATTTGATGGTGTAAAGCAAATTTAATACAGT